CGGACAAGCATCTTGTACCGAAGCAGCTTTAAGAGCACTTTTTGAGCATGGAAAGTTTAATAACTGATAAGTTAGAGTAAGGCAATGTCCTCACATAAATGTAATTTCGTGTCTTTTTGCCATTTCACGCATCTCATTTCTAGAAATGCGCAGATTTGCTATTGCCTACATAGATGATGAGCACTCACATTGTTCGACTAATTAGGTGTCCGAAAATATCACTAATGTTAACTTGTGATCCTCATTTTGCACAAATGTCCACCTATATCTACTTACTTCTTGGACAAAGCAGACGATTAGCGCTTACACATTAATGCCTATCAACAGAATGCAGTATGAATTGTACTGTTCTTTACGCAATGTTAAATAAGGGTTAAACATTAAGGATTCTGTTTTCTAATCCTTCACGTGTCATTTCCAGGATGAATCCTACGCTGACAACGAAGAGCACACTTTTAGCTTCAACTTTGACCCCTCAACAAGTCAGTGTAAGTTTTTTTTTGTTGTACTCATCGTTGCTAAGTTGGTTAAATTAGACTATAGTCTTTCTTTTGGAAATCGATGCTAATATTATAAGGCTCCTTTTTTCCACGACTGTTGCGGGGGTTACCTTATACTTACACACAAAATTTATACATTACTTATGCTTCTTGCCAGCATTTAATTAATTAAAAAGGATCATTATGGTGAGGAAGATGAAAGTTGCGAAATTTTGATACCCTTAACTGACATAAGGTGAAGAGATTTCAATAAATCCTGTCAGTTTCTACAATTTCTAAAGAGCAAGGAATTCCTCGTTTGCTTTCTGGATATTCTATGATTATCATATATGAAATATGTAGACCATCCCTACTTGTTCTTGGAAGTTGCCAACAAGTGTCTCCTCTTCCAGCTCACCTCGATCTCCTTGCTCAAGCGCATTGCTTGGTTAGTAGTCCTCCACGGGAAACCTCCCCACCATCAGCTAAACGATCTCGAGCCACTAACGGTGATCCGAACAAAGACTATCACACTTGTCAGGTGTGTCACGACATAACGAATCGTATCACTCTAATGGCATCATTATTCATTCTAGATCTGCGGCACAAGGGTTAAAGCGCCACGTGGTGGACGATGGAATTTGCAAATGCATGTGATGGCAATGCATTCTTCTTTTCGACCATATAAATGCCGTTCTTGTGATTTTCAAGATTATCGGTGAGAAGAAAATCCCGCTTCTTACATTTTTT